CAAATGATGATCTCAATAGACGTAGAAAAAGCATTTAACGAAATTCAACACCCTTTCTGGATAAATACTAAGCAAGGATGCCCACTCTCACCAAATCTATTCAATACAGTATTGAAGTCCCAGCCAGGACAGTTAGGCAAAAAAAAGGAAGGAAGGGAGAGAGAAAGAGAGAGAGGGAGGGAGGAAGGGATGGAAAAGTCATCCAAATCAGAAAGGAAGAATAAATTTGTTCCTGTTTCCAGACATGATGTTATATAAAAACCTAAAGACTCCTTAAAATAAACTGTTATAACTAATAAATTCTGTAAAGTTGCAGGATACAATCACAATACAAAAATCAGACACATTTCCTTACACTAACGAAAAAATCTGAAAAGGGAATTAGAGAAATAATCACATTTATAATAGCACCAAAAAGAATAAAACACGTAAAAATAAACATAAGAATAAACACAACGAAGGACATGAAAGACCTGTATACTGAAAACTACAAAATAATGATGAAAGAAATTAAAGATACAAAAAAATGGAAAGGTATCTCATGTTCATGAATTAGAAGATTTAATATTGTTAAATGTCTCTACTACCCAAAGTTATCTACAAATTCAACGCAATCCTTATCAAAATCCCAATGGCATTTTTTTACAGAAATAGAAGAAACAAATTCTAACTCATGTGGAACCAAAAGACCATAAATAGCCAAATCAATCTTGAGAAAGAAGAACATAGCTGGAGACATCATTCTTCCTGGTTTCAAAATATATTACAAAGCTACAGTAATAAAAACAGCATGGTACTGGCACAAAGACAAGACATATAGATCAATGGAACAGAAGAGAGAGCTTAAAAACAAATCCACACATTACAGTTAGCTGATATTTGACAAGAGTGCCAATGGAGAAAGGATAGTCTGTTCAACAAAAGATGCCGGGAAAACTGGATTTCCACATGCAAAAGAAAGAAGTTATACCATACACAAAAATGAACTTAAGACTTAAACATAAGACCTGAAACTGTAAAATTCCTAGAAATAAACAGAAGATAAGCTTCATGACATTGGTCTTGACAATAGATACAATATCAAAAACACAGGTAACAAAAGCAAAAGTAGACAAGTGGGACTACAGCAAACTAAAAAGATTCTGCACAGCAAAAGAAACAAAGGGGTATAAAAGTAACCTATAGAATGGGAGAATATATCTGCAAACCATGTATCTAATATGGAGTTAATCTCCAAAATACATAAGAAACTCCTCTAATATCCCAGGGGCAAAGGACTTAAATAGACATTTCTCCAAAGAAGACATACAATGGCCAAAAGGTATATATGAAAAAACTCGACATCACTCATCAGGGAAATGTAAATCAAAACCACAATGAGTTATCACCTTACACCTCTCAGGATGGCTATTATCAAAAAGCAAACTAATGTTGGTGAGCATGTGGAGAAATTGGAACCACTGCACACTGTTGATAGGAATGCAAAATGGTGCAGCCACCATAGAAAACAGTATAGAAGTTGCTCAAAAAATTAAAAATTGAACAATCATATAATCCAGCAATTCCAATAGAACTGAAATCAGAATCTTGAAGAGATATTAGCACTACTATGTTCACTACAGCACACTATTCATGACAGCCAAGAAAACAATCTAAATTGGCAGATGAATGGATAAAGAAAGTGTGTTATATACATACAATGGAATATTATTCAGCTTTTAAAGAAGAGGGAAATGTTGCAATATATGACAACATGGATGAACCTTGAGGAAATCATGTGAAGTGAAATAAGCCTGTCACAGAAGGACAAATACTGCATGATTCTACCTATATGAGACATCTGTAATAGTCAAATTCATAAAATCAGAGTGGAATGGTGGTTGCCAGGGGGTGGAAGAGGGATAAATGGGGAGTTACTAATCAATGGGCATTAGGTTTCAGTTAAGCAAGATGAATAAGTTCTAGAGAGCTTCTGTACAATATTGTACCCTTAAAAATTGGTTAAGAGGGTAGAGCTCATGTTAAGTGTTTCTAGCTCGGTAAAACAAAATTTAAACATATATATCAGTTACACAATCAAGAAACTATTTGTCTTAAAGGATTCCATGATGTAATCATTCATTTGTTAGCACTATAGCCCAGCCTGTCTAAAAAACAATGTATGGAGTCATTGGCTTAGAGAAATCTGATCTAACATGTGAAAAAAGGAAAGGACAGGAATACCAATCAAATAGTAAAGAACTGGAAATTTGGATTCTTTCAGAATCCTAGGCTTACTCAAGAAAGGAAAAGTGACTGAGAGACAACAGAGCTTCTCAGGTAATCTAAATACACTAATGTTTCAAGAATTTGAACACAGGGTATAAGAAATGATATTTTAAGAAGTGGCTACAGAGTAAAATAAGAACTGTAATAAACCTACCTGTGTAGCTTTGTCCCTCATGCAAGGTGTAGCTTGCCCGTGACTATCGCGAGGCCAGTGCCCAGCAAGGTATGGAGCAGCGAGTGTATCCAGGGAGGAAGTACGTCGGATAATACTGGAAGGGCTAGAGGAAGGCGGTCGTGTTTTGTCACCTAGATTTAAGACAAAAATATTTATTTTTAAAATCAGATTAAGAAGGAAACAAAGCAGAAACTAAGTTTTTTTTTTTCCTTTTTGTCTTTTTTACTGACCGGTAACGGGATCGCAACCCTCGGTGTCACACTCACTGATATGCACAACTTGCATGAATCTCCAGGGAATTATACTGAGTGAAAACAGTCAATCCCAAAGGATTACATACTATATGATTTCATTTATATAACATTTTTGAAATGACAAAATTTTATAAATGTAGGAAAGATTAGGGATTGCCAAGGATTAAGGACATGGGAGTGAAGGTGAGGGGTCTGGAGAGAGGTAGGTGTTGTTATAAAAGGGCAACCGGGGAGAACTCTGTAGTGATGGAACTATTCAGTGTCTTGACTGTGGTGGTGGATACACAAATATACACAGGATATTAAACAATGCAGATTTCAACACACATGTACAAACACAAATGAGTACAAGTAATAACTGAAGAAACCTGAATAAGATCAGTGGATTGTACCAATGTCAATACCCTGGTTGTAATGCTATATTACAGTTTTGCAAAATGTTATCCTTGGGAGAAACTGGGCAAAGTGCACAAAAGATTTCTGTATTATTTCTTGCCATTGCTATGAATCAACAAAAATCTCTATAAAAAAAATAGAAAATAAGACAAATGTATATCTGTCCATCTAAAAAATGTTCATCTTGGTTTTAAGAATAAATTGGTACAATATATAAAATACTTATTTATCATTATATCCCTGCTTATAACAAAAAGGATATAAGGCAGCTAAGATAAAGTTATACGTAAAATTCCATTTGAATCAGCTCCGTAAAACATATCTTAGTATGATTTTATTACAATAAATAGACTGTAAATACCATGTTAACCAAGCTATAGGAACTATAATTGAAGACACATATTCAAAAATCTTTCCCTTTTCAAGCTACTGGATATGCATTTAGATGTAAACTAAAAATAAAAAGTGTAAGTAATGGAAGTTAGAGGTGATGTAAAAGAAATAATGTACATTATAGAGTAAATACAGCCTGTTAGAAAAATAAACGAAAAAAAGCACATTTCTCCTCTGATTTCCCCTTTTCCACCTATTTATTATCTCCTATTATCTATTACCTACTGATTAACAAAATTATTTCAAGTCATAAAATAATAATGTCAAAATTATTTCAATTTATAAACATTTATTAAAGATTAATTGTGTGCAAAGGCAATAACAGTGAAATAACTGTGTGAAAAGGCAATAACAGTTCTAACTCAAAGCAGAATATGACAAATATCATGACCTGAGTTTAATGACCAATAAATTAAAATACTCACTAAAAAAGAAACTCAATATACATAGAATTTAAGATAATCGAATTTGGTTAAACACTGTTACTAAATGCAAACTGCCAGCACATGAAATTAGCTTTCTTAAAACAAACTGTTTAAAGGACAATTACATTCACTATTCTCAGTAAATTAAAAAAAAAAAAAAAAAGTCAATTTGCGAACAATTACTGAATTAGCCACTTATTTGGAAAGTACCCATTATAGTATGATTTTCAAATTTATTCAATGGAGATGTGTGATAATTTAACCTACTCCTTAAAAAATGTTATCATAGACTTAGAACAATATATATGTTCAAAAAACTCTCCCCTGCTGCAGGCTTACCTAAAAAATACAGCTAATGTCACATCATATAACTCTCATTTAAAAACTGAAAACAAATTTTTACTGACACTGTACAAATAAGTTCAGAACCCTCATTCCTTAGCCTAGAATTTACCTTCAGCAGCAAGCTGTGCATACCATAAGTCCGACTTCTAAGAATGCAGCATCTGAATAAAGACCCTAAGGAAGTACATGTGTAAGTCCTGAGGTAAGAAAAAAAAGACCTGATAGATATGAAAAAGAAAAAAAAACAGACCTTCTAAAATAAACAAATATATTCACTAAAATTAAAACTCAATGGATGGATTAAACAGAAGAGAAATACAGCTTAATACAGAGTTAATGAGCTGGGAAATTAAAAAAAAATTTTTTTTAAAGCAGCACAAAGAGACAAGAGATGAAAAGGAACTTATGAATAGGAACTTAGGCAACATGGAAGACATTTATTGCTACATGTGCAAGGGATATGTCCCAAGACCTCCAGTGGATGCCTGAAACTATGGACAGGACCAAATCCTATATAAGCACTTATCAGGCACTGTGGCTGTACTTTTGCAGTCTGAGGTGCAACAACAAAACCAGCACAAATTTCTTTTTCACTCTGCACAATTACTGTAGATCGAAGCAATTTCAGCATGATTCATTTTCTTTCCTTATTAAGTCAAGAATGTGCACCTTTTCACTTAAACATTTTACAGCTTCTCTTTGGCATATCTGAATTGCCAGCATCACTACTCTTGTGCTTTATAAGGGTTACTTGAACACGAGCATTGTGATACTACACATCCTATGAAATAGGTATTATCCTCATTTGTAAAATGGGGCATGGCAAGGTATGGGGTGGAGGGAAGAGGTGGATTGGTACATGGAGAAGTTATTTGCCTATTGTTGAATAGCTAATTATGGTAATACTAAGATGTGAATCCAGGTTTCTCGGGGTTCTTTCCACTATATTCACGTTGCCTCCCTTTAGAATGTCAATTCTATGCCTATCAAATTTCTATCCATGAGAGAACCAAAACAATTCCTGCTCTTCAGTTCTACAGGAAATTGGATGCTATGGTATGTATAATCTCAAAGCAGGCTCACACATCTTAAGTTTCTCAAACTATGTGTCAGAGCAACAGAATCATTTTAGCATCCTCATTAAAAATGTACAGTCCTGGCCCTCACCCTATGCCTACCAAATCAAAATCTCTATGGCTGGGCTCATGAATTTTCTACAGAATTGATGTATACCTAGTAGTCAACAAATTTTTATCTAGATGTCCCTTTTGTTTATAAGTTAAACCCTTGTTTTACATTTTTCAGGGAACCAGGGGGCATAATGAAAATAAGACAGGAAGGTGAAAATCATGGGAACATATAAAAAAATACTGACAATCTTTCACATTATTTAATATTAACATTTAAAAGTAATACTGGCACTTAGTGATCATCCTATTCCATACACCAACAGAAACCTTCACAAAGGAGAGTGTAATAAATAAAGCGGCTGCTTCATGAAAACTTAGTACCAGCCCAAAAGATAGCTCTCAAGATAAGTTAACACCTTTCTCAGTGAACCCTTGCCTTTGAGATTATCCTAGGAGATACATAAACCAAACCAACTGAAAGAACCAACCACCAACCTTGTAACAGAGGTACATTTAATTTCTAAGCAAATGAAGTGAACCCTTGCCTTTGAGATTATCCTAGGAGATACATAAACCAAATCAACTGAAAGAACCAACCACCAACCTTGTAACAGAGGTACATTTAATTTCTAAGCAAATGAAATTGGTATTTACCAATACATGAATATTAATTATAAGACATTCAATGCAAATTTCAATAGTAAAATGATCCAATAGCAATAAAGTAAATCTAAAAGTAATGTGAAGAAAAATACATTTAAAAAAGTGGATTATGTGGCTGACCAGTTAGCTCAGTTGGTTAGAGCACAGCCTCATAACACCAAAGTCAAGGCTTTGGTTCCCCATACTGGTCAGCTGCCAAATTTAAAAAAAAAAAAAAAAAAAAAAGTGGATGATGCAATAACTATTTGTACTATTAAAAAATTAGTTTTCGGGGCCGGCCCGGTGGCGCACTGCTACAGTGCACCGCTTGGGAGCATGGCAGCGCGCCCGCCGAGGGTTCGGATCCCACATACAGACCGGCCGCTCACTGGCT